GGGGGGGGGGGGGGGGGGGGGGGTTGCCATCCTCTGTAGCAGGGGGCATGGCCCCCTGCCTAGGCTCTCTTGAGCATATATTAATAACCTTTTGCAGCAGCAGGATGTTGGCTGCCGTGGTCCGCCTTTTACTTATGGCGGGTTGGGGCGTGGTGTCTTGAGTTGTCAGGGCTGCCGGTAGTTTTGCTAAGAGGTTAGAGCATGGATTTATATAGGATGGTTTCGATAGGGCTGATCCTGCCTTGGGCAGGGGGCTGGACTAGATGTTGCCTCCCTTCCAGCCCCACTTATCTACGATTTCACGCCTCCTCACTTCTTGCTCAGGCCACCATCTCACTGACTTCAGCAAGGGCCTTTCCAGAGGAAAGACGGGCCTCTGTCTGACCCGGTTTCCATGCAGCGGGGAATCCTCGCACGCTTGGGCTCGGCACATTTCCCATGGGCCTGACCTGTTGGAAAGTGCGGAGCTGCCTCCTTTTTCCCGCCTCCTGGAGGTTTCTTTTTCAGCTCATCCATGTTGCTGCTCCCCTCCAGCTTCTTGGCTCGATGTGCTTTTGCTTTGTCCTCGGCTTTTATGAGGCCTGAAGAGGGAGAGGGCGCTTTTAAAACACAGGAGGATGAACCTGGAGCGGTGCCCGGTTTACAACAGCGGGACTGGAGAGAAGCTGTTGGAGAGAAAGTAATCTGAGCGAGCATCATTTCCTGGGCAAAAGCCCTGTCACCCACAGGCAGAAGCACCCCAGAAGCTGACGGTAGGGCACGCCACTTCAGGGCAAGGCTTTGAGTCAGCAAGAAGGAGCTCTTGATCATGACGGGGGAAGGCTGGGGAGTGGGAAACATCTTCCTGGAGCCCAAACGATCTTGAACGAGGATGCGGCTTGAGAAGCATCAGGTATTGGAGCGATGTTTCCTCCAAGAACCCAAGCCAAGGGCAGCCTGCCGTTCTGGGCTGATACCCAGGGAGCCCCCAGCCCTTTCTGGTCCCAGGCACTGGTGCTATGAGACGGCGAGACTGGGAGAGGGCGAGTGCCAGACACAGATCCCACTTTGCTCTGGGTCGAAAAGGGATCAGCAGGCAGCAACCTGCTCGCACACACAGGCAGAGGGAAAGGGGTGCAGTTCACCTTCCTCCCTGGTCATGCTTGTATTCTCCCCCCCCATCTGGTTCACTGCTCAGAGCACTCTGAGAGCAGCTTTTCTCTGCTTTCTCATCGCTGAAGCTCTGTGGGGGAGGCTTTTAGGTCCAAATCCCCCAAGGAAAGGGAGCAGGATGAGATCACGCTCCATGCATGGCAGGGGGCCAAAGGCTCGAAGGCATGGCCCCAGTGTCGTCACAAGAAAAGCAGCAGCACCGTGGGATGCCCCTTGATTGGGAGCATGCAGAAACCACCCCAGTGCATGCAGTTAGCAGGCTGACCTGCCAGCCCAGAAATAGGAGGTGCTGGAATAAATACGCAGCAGGGGCAGAGATGAGGGCAGCAAGATCTGTTGGCACTGAGGTCCGGCTGGCACTCATAAGTTTTGCCAGTGGAGCTATATCAGCATCCCCTTGCTGGTGTGGCTAAGCAAGCAAAACGTGCAGTTGGAAACAGCTGTGTTGACAGGAAAGGGCTTCTCCCAGCTGGGCTGACAGCATTCAGGGAGGCCCCATGGGACATCTCTGATGCAACTATAGCAGCAACAGCTCTGAAATGCAGACAAGCCAAAAAGCACACTCTGGTCCAGGATCTTAGGCTGGAGAGGTGCGTGCATTTTTTGTGCAAGAATTTGCAGGGTATTTTTACACGAGACCTGCCAGGAGAACCCCATCTAGGAACAGCGCATGTGCGATGGGAAATGTGTGTTTGTGAGCACAAGGGCCTGAAATACTCTTTAATCTCCGGGCCTGATGATTTGTAAACCAGGCTCTTTTGTGCCACCGGTGACCTGACAACTACCTGCTGGCACCTGAAGAAGGCAGCTCGAGGGGGCTTGAGAATCTGGGGGTGGAGTTAGGAACGGAGAGGCAGCCACATGAGCCCACACTTTGGGCCTGGCCCACTGCCCCACGCTGGCATGTTGAGTCAGAGGGGATTATCCCAGCCCAGGCAGCGGTTGAGATCTTATTGTGAGATCAACTCATAAAAATGCCTCTCAGGGCAGCTCCCTGGGGAAGGAACGGATCATGCATACCCGGGTTTGCAGGAGCTGGGGCACAGGGCTGGGGAGGAGGTGCCGCTGTTACCTTTCAGTCCAAACGTCCCTGAGATGGACGGTTGCTCCCCGGTAAATTTCTTAGGGGTTTTCTGTTTCCTTCCTGACTCGAGAGAGAGAAACAGAGACAGAAATTTGGTCAAATAACTATATTGCAAGAGCGCAGTGAAGCACATGCAGAGTGCGGAGCCTGTGGCAGGAAGCGGGCAGGAAGGGACTGGCCTCCCTGCTCCCCTCCGAAGGCTTCCACCCTCCTGGGATGAAGCTGCGATGGAAGGGCATCCCTCAGCTGCTCTGCTTCAGGGCACTTTACCCCCCAGAAAATAGCAGCTGGGGTGGGGAAGTCTGCTTGGCTCTGCTCTTTCAGCCCTCCAGAATGATTTTTCTGGGGTTCAGTGAGGTTATTGTCCATTGACGCTGGACTAATGGAGATGAGACATTTGTTCTGCACCTGTGCATGACCCCCCCCATCTCTGGGTGCATGAAGCTGAGTAGCCCTGGGCTCTACTCTTACTGTGCTTCATCCTCTCGGGGTCCTCCTCCTGGAGGGCTGCCTGACCTCCCTGCTGCTTGGGGTCCTTGCAGCTCGAAGACTTGCCCGTCGGGGTGGCTGCAGCCACCGCCTCTGCCGCCGCGATCTGGAACTCCTTGCTCCCACGGCCCGCCACCAAGCACTCGCCGTTTTCAGGGGGCTCCCGGGCAGCCACCTTCTCCATCTTTGCCTGTTTGGGATGGATGGTTGGGGAATCTGAGCTCTCAGCAGGTCTAGGGCAAAGCATAGAGGGCTCGTTGAAAGTGGAGTCCACAAACCAATGCTGCCGACGCCTTTGCCAACCCAGCAGGAAGGGAACTGGGGGCATCTCCCTTTCTCTCTCCTCAGCCGTCCCCTAAAACTACGGCCCAGAAGCTACACCACGTGGCCAGTACCTTTTTTTGCCACTGCTCTTGCTGAGAGACTTCTGCACTTTGTTTTCGGCTTTGCAGGCCGGGACCGGCCGATCCAAGTGGTTCCATAGCCGGTGCTTCTCCAGCTGGGTTTTGGATGTGAAGGCAGCTTCACAGTAGGGGCAAGAGTAGGTCAGCTTCTCCGAGATGGCGCCCTGCAAGGCAGCAGGGAGTCACATGTGCATAGACGTGGGAAGGGGAAGATTCAAACATGCAAGTTTGGAGCAAAATGAATCCCCTGGGTAGGTGGGAGGGGGCTGGACAACATACTTCTGGGATCTCTGCAGTAGGCACATTCTGGAGCTGCCCTGCACCCATCCCTTTGGACATAGGGCTGGGAGCTGTCAGTGCAAAGACTGTGCCTAGTGAACATGGCAGGCAGGAGCTAATAAATCGGACACCCCCCTTTCAATGCATGTGGATTCCACGCTTTCAAACAGCCTCTCTGCTTCCTGCCAGCCACCCCTGCCAGAAGCCAGTAAAGCTTCGTCAAGTTTGAGCACTTAGGGTTCAAATTAAATAGAAGCCACCTGACAACCCTTTTCTATGATGTCTATGATAGAACAGCCCATTGGGTGCCTGCCAGGGGAACAGTGCATGAGCTCAGAGAGAAAAGGGGCCTTTCAAGGTGTTAAAACAGTCCAGGGCATGGGTCGCACCTGACTGCTTGTTTGCAAAGTGCCTGGTGCAACCTGGGCATGGCTGCAGCATAAACCATCATGAGCTCAATTGCCCACCCGCTGTAACGACGTACTTTCAGCACCGACTGCATCTACAGTAGTATCCTGATCCCCTCAGGGTAACATCTATTATACGTCTCCCAGCACATGGCCTGCACCCTCCTCCCCTCTCTGCCACCTGTCCCTGGGTGTTTGAAGATTATGCCGCTCTCCCATCAGAGGTGAGATCGTCTATTCCAGGAGGGCCAGTTTTTTGTGGAGTGGATGCTTGCACCCGTGTATATACAGATGGGGCCACTTAGATGAAGGGGGCTGCCAAAACCCCCCAGCTTTTCTGGATATGGGAAATTCTACTGAAATGAGGCATTTTTTTTCTCTCTTTCAGACTATTGGTATTTTTCCCACAGTAGCTCCAATCATGTTTCTACTGCAGGAGCTTTGGGTTTTATGGTTTAAAAAGTCCAGATCATTTAAGATTTCTGGACCTGTGGCTCTCTCCATCCGTTGCTAAGCTGCTGAGGGGAAAGAAAAGACAAGGGGATTCATACAAGGATAGGAGAAAAAGAGTCCTGGACAATGTCTTTGGTTCCCTCTAGATGAGCTGCAGAGAGCATTGGTGAAATGCCACTGATAAGTTGGTTGTGAAACAACCAGGGCACTCCATGATTTTTCTGTGCATCTCCAAGGAGTTTCCAAGAAGGTGCTGATATTTGCAGGATCCAGACGGCTTTGTGTTGACAGGGGGAAAAGGGTCCAGGATAGATCAAGTGTGGCTCCCCCATGCTAAGAATGGCTTGCACTTGGCCATCTGCAGCTTGGTTTATGGAGTCAAGGTCCAGCCCTGACAAAACTACAGCCCAAGCAGCTGCACTGAGCTAGCAGTGTGACCCTGTCTCTCCATCGGGGCAAAGATCAAGTCGGGGTCTGGCATGTGTTCGCTACGCTTGACCTAACTGGGACCCCTTTCCCTTGTCCTGACAAGGATTCAGCCACTCCTCCATGTTCTTCCTGAGATCAGCCCAAAAGTAAAAGCCAGCCAGTTACAGAGCTTCAGTGAATAGAAAATCACTGGTATTCAAAAGTGCAGGGGCCATTACCATCAGGCTGTGAGAGGGAAAGCCCTCTGGAGAAATCCCCTCCGACAGCTGGCTGAGCCTGCAGTTATAGGGAGAGATGCTGGTGGCTGGGCCAGGGGATGTGGCAATGCCCTAGCTCCTTGTGCAGCTTTCTCCCCAGGCAGTGGCACTAGAGAGAGATGGGAATTCAAGACAGGGCTGGAGGCAAGTTAGCGACTCTAGGGGAAGGTGCCCAAGATGACCCAGGACACTTGTGCAATATGGCAGTTGCATTGATATCCACCCACAAGGGTCTGTGAGAAGGGAAAGGGGGCCCGGCAAAGCAGAAGGATCAGCAAAATCAAACACAAACCTCTGTCCTTCTTACCCCTTGGCAGCGCTGGTAGTGGTACTTGAGGCCATAGATGCTGGGGAACTCCAGCCAGCAGCCTGAATTGGGGCACTTCACCCTGGAGTGGGCCTTGAACTCATCCTTCCACTGGTTCATCAGGGTCAGCTGGGAAGAGGGGACAAGGCAGATGCAGTTGAACGGGTACCTTGGAGCCCGTCAGTCCCTGATTCCACCCCCCACGGCTTGGTACTAGGGCTCAGCTTGGTGCCTTGGCCATGTTGAAAGGCACGATGATGGAGTTGTATCTCGCCTCTCAGTCCTCTGGGGAATTTCCCTCACTGCAAATGAAGTGCTTTCTGGCCCGGCTGGTGGCATAAATCACCCTGCAAGTCAGCTCTGTGATTTAACTGCCCCACATTTCATCTCGCCAGTAAATTGCCTGGCACCCTCCTCCGGTGACAAATGGCTCCGAGTGCTGTCCGTGCCACGGTGCTGAAATCAAACTGTTCCATTTCCCCTGGAGAGAAATCACTGCTGCCCCAGGCAGCCTCCTGGGCATGAAACCAAATCTGGTGGCGAGCAGGCCAGTAGCTGGGACCACCGCGGGGGAAGGGCAACTTTGCTGGGCAAAATACGCTGAGATCCCACCTTCACGGCATGACGGTCCAGAGGCAGCTGAACAAGGGCTAGGAAAGCGCCCAGGGCTTGTTCTGGTAATCATCCCCTCAGGGGCGTCTCCCGCTGGCCACTCAAACCACTTGCTGTCCACAGTCTCAATCATTAACTCTGTTTCCTGTCCTGGCGCTGATCAATCGGCACCATACATACAGGCTGGGAAACTCCCCTCTTGTCAGCACGGAGGTGGAAAAGGATCTGGGAGTCATTATTGACTCCAGGATGAACATGAGTCGGCAATGTGGGGAGGCAGCTAGGAAGGCCAACTGCACCTTGTCGTGCATCCACACATGCACCTCAAGCAGGTCCAAGGAGGTGATCCTCCCCCTCTATGCGGCACTGGTCAGGCCGCAGCTGGAGTACTGCGTCCAGTTCTGGGCGCCGCACTTTAAGAGGGATGTGGACAGCATCGAGAGGGTCCAGAGGAGGGCCACTCGTATGATCAAGGGACAGCAGGGTAGGTCCTATGAGGAAAGGTTGTGGGACCTGAACCTGTTCAGCCTTCAAAAGAGAAGGCTGAGGGGGGATCTTGTGGCCTGTTATAAACTGGTTAGGGGGGATCAGCAGGCACTGGGGGAGTCCCTGTTCCCCCGAGCGCCGCAAGGAGTGACCAGGAACAATGGTCACAAGCTGGCGGAGGGAAGGTTTAAGTTGGACATCAGGAGGCGCTACTTCACGGTCAGGGCGTGGTTGGATGACTACCTTACTGGGGTCGGTTGACCCCAGTACTCTTTCCTGCCATGGCACTGGGTCGGACTAGATGATCTGCTCAGGTCCCTTCCAACCCTAGAAACTATGAAACTACGAATTCTCACCCAGCAATCCCCCTGGTGATGGAGCCCATAGCCAGACCCAACACCATCCCCATAAATAAATAAAGCCTCTATTCCACCTGTCAGCATCACCCCCACAAACATATACAGACACACATGCACATTATATATATATATATATATATATATATTTATATATACACACATATAAACACACACAGACATGCATACATATTGCACGTACACATATTATATATACACACACACACACACACACACACATATACATATATATACATACATGTAAACACACATACATTGCACCCGGTTTTCCAAAGGGCATGGACCCAATTGTACAGACAGCGACAGAAGCAAATGCAGAGCCCTGCTCACCTGTGCAATGGGGGTGCTAGAGCATCTCTGGGTCCTGAGCTTGTGGGTGCCCCGCATGTCTAGGGGCATGCAGGGCCACTCAGCCCTGAGCAGGGGTCATCTCACTGCACCAACAACTCACCCACGGGACGGGGTGGCTGTCTGAGGGAAGGTGAGTTGCTTTAAGTGGACTCAGTCACTGCAACGCCCTCATTTCTGAGGCACATGCACAGACACAGCCCTGCTGTTCTCGCAGCAGCTGAGCGGACTCAATTAGCACAAGAGCTCCCACAACAGCTCCTGGGGTGTGTGTGGGCATGCACTTTAATAGGTGCTTTGCAGAGAGCTGGATGGGTAAGGGAGAGAGGAGGGAACAACTCCCAGTGTGAGGGGGACTGGGGGTGCTTACTGGGATGTCTTTGAGCGCCTGGTTCTCTGCCTTGGGCCGCCCTTTCTTCCTGCCTTCTGTCTTGTCGCTGGTTGCGTTTCCTGCAAAAAACCACAGAAGATATGACCCCACTCTCCAGGATCCAGTCCAGCACTTGGATTTAGAGTCCCTCCCCCATTACCAGTCATGTCCCAGCTCCTCCTCCTGACAGGCCTGTTGCTGTCCCCCGCACTCAGAACCTTTCCAGAGGAACAGGTGAGATCTCCTCTTCCTCCTTTCTCATGTTGGAGGATTCCGGCTTAGCCAGTATGCTAGAGATGAGATGGGTTCCCCAAAGGCAGGTGTCAAAGCAGACAGCCCTGCTGATGCCCTTCACTGCAGGCCGTGCTCAGTTTGCAAAAAAAAACACCGCTGGGTTCAGCAGAAGCATTTACTTACTGGGAGGGGGGAGGCAAGCAGGCCACAATTGTGTCTGCCTTGCCTGGCTCTAATGCTGGCCACCAGTTCCCCATGCTGGGTGAGACAGAGCTGCTGATGTGCCCTGGAGTTTCCCGGGTGCTTCAGCTATCCAAGTGCATGCTGACATAGCAATGTGCAGCCTGGGGCCTTGCATTCGTACTGCAGGAACCATTAACTGCTCAAGGTCTTGGGCATGAATGCGCCATAAAACATGTCCTTTCCTGTGCCCTCTCGCTATCCCAACAGGCTTCCATGGCTTAGCTGTCAGGTCAGCATCTGTGTGTTACAAACGTCATTTGGTGTCACTGAAGGCAGCTGTTGGGTGCGAGCACAGCTGTCTGCAAGAAGGCAGGGGCAACTGGCAGAGGAGAAACAGAGCAAAAGCCAATTTCTTCCTTGTGTCAAAGGACTTTCTTGCTACTGGATTGTGCTGCTTCCTTCTTTCCAGCTGATGCCCTCCAGCCACTCCTGCAGCCTCCTTCTTACTCCCCAAAGGTGCTGCCAGCATTAAAAAAATAGGAGTTGTGTTCCCCTTAATCTTAAATATCACACAGCAATAATAATATACATGGAGGGCATCTCCTTCCTGATGCTCAAATCTCTCAGGGTCACATGCTGCTCACAAGCAGGAGGTTGTGAAGAGGTATCTTGGTTTTCTCAATGGAGCTACAATCCCCCTGTAATGACATGGCTCGAGGATCCAAGAGAAATGCCCACCAGCATGCAACCTCAGGGCCTTAGCTGAGCCTAGGCTACGACACTGAGTGAACGGAGGGTGCTCAGCCCCTCTGACTATCACAATTTATCAAGTTGGGCACCCCCAAAGAGAGGCCTGCAGCAGCAAAGAGCTGTAGGCATCATGTGCCAAGTTGTTTAACAAGAGGAAATCAGGGGATAGAAGAAGCCAATCATTAGCGTTTTCTGCCACGAAATTAGATCTTCTCGGCCATGTTGCTGCACCAAGCAAAATCCTGCACCTCTGCCGGAGGGAATTTGAAAGACACTTGGGGCATATATCACAACCCGCCGTGTTTCACGCAGGTGGGAATCTACCTGTCCAAGACCCTGCCTGCAAACGTCCTATGGGCGGCTGCTTGTAGCGAGAAACGATGGCAGTGATGCACGCAAACCCCGCACCGGAGCATGAGACCCGTGTCACATACAAAGCCACGTGAGCCTTATTTTGAGGGAAGGAAGATTTTGTGAGGAGCAGCAACCTCTTTGTATTACCCCTGGAGAGAGATATTAGATGGTCTTCCCCCTTCCTCAATGTGACAGAGGTAGTACGTGGGAGTCAATTTAGCTCCAGAGCAGCTTGAAAAGCTGTGCACTGGAAACACTTAGTACGGTGAAGTGTCATACCTGGATTTAATTCAAGGGATGGAAAAGGCAGGTTCTCCTGTTAAATGTTCTGCCCAAAGGGAAAGTGGAGAGTCACTCGCAGAAAGACAGGAAAGGACCAGAAGAAGGAGACACTAAGATGCAACCAAGGAAATCCCGTGCTATCAGCTGACACGTCCAGATCCAGCCAGTGCAAGAGTCCGGCTGTGAAGCCAGCTTGAGGGCTCTTGGCACGACCGTCACCATTTCTATGAAGAGCTCCCTACACAAACTCTGGCCTAGATGAGCTAAATCTGCAGTGCTCTGCCTGGCGCCCCAGCTAGCTGGGGGCAACGCAGCATCCAGCAGACAAGACGGTTTATTGTTTAACTTCTAGTGCCCTGAAATCTTGCCAGCCGGCTTGCTCTGCTTTGATAGATAGCCGTGAAAGGGTCCTTCTGTGATGTTCAAGCTACTAGAGACACCGCGGGCCTGTGAGGTTGTGTGCTCTGTGCAGCTTGTAGTACAGGATGCAGCTGTAACCCCCTGGAATATATAAAAGGGCGGCTGCAAAGGGAGCAATTTGCCTTACAAAGCTGCATCTCTGACCCCCTCTCAGGCAACCCTGCTGCTGCAGCAGATGCCCACAGCTGCAGCACTGTGATCAGAAGCCAGCTGGCAGGACCTCAGGGACCAGGGGCTGTTCAACAAGGCTCATTCCCAACCGCAGATGTGTTGATCGAGTGCAGTGGGAAGATGTCCCGGCACATGCTTGCCCATCAGAAATAAAAAGCAGCTTGGCTTTGTGAGACAGCACAGCCTACCCTGGCTGCTCAAACAAATTAGGAGGTTTCCTTTCCATACCTGGTAAAGTTCCCACAAAAGTTCTCTGCTTCTCAGCTCTCTGGTTGGTGTCCTGCCTTTCTTCATTGCCTTTAAGGTGCCCTGGAGCTATTTTCCTAGCTTTTCTATTCACCGTGACACCAAGAAACAAGTCTCCCCTGTTCACATGACTCCAGGGGCTGGGGCTTTCAGAGGAAACACCACCCAATATTGTGAGACTTGCAACAAACTGGCCAGTCAGCCATGCTGCAGACCCCGATGCTCCTTCCTACCCAGGGAGGACAAGCCCTGTATGAGACAGCTGCTCTCTCTCTCAAACGCCCTGGCCATACTGCAAAGCATTTCAGACTGAGCAACCCTATTTTCCTAGAGAGCGGCCCACGCAAAGGGGCTAAATCCAATCCCTCCATAGTTATTTACCAGGGAGGCTGATGCTGCAGTCCTGCTTGATCTGGCGTGGGGAAGCACCGGGCTCTTACACGCCTGCAGAGCATGACCCCAGCTCTGAGAAGAGACAGCCCATTGCAAAGTCTATGCAACAGCAGGTAACAGTCAGGCCACTTTCCTTTTCATGGAGGCGAGGCACAACGCTTTGGGCAGCTTTGACAAGGCATCCAAAGCTTCTCATGGTCCAAAGCAAAAGTGCTCTCCCTTTTCAATGGAGCCCACAACCTCCAGCCCAGACCTGGCTCTCTGGAAGTGCTGTATCCCAGCAAAGTCACTGCTGGAGAGGACCTTCTCCCTGGCCCTGCAGCCAGCTGGAGCTCACACCTGGGAAGCTATAACACCCCACAGACCTCTCCCACCACCTGGAATAATTAAATGTTTTCATTCCATCATGTTCATTTAGTCCAGGAAGTGAAGGAACTCAAAGAGGAGATTTTTACTGGAAAAACTTTGGTAAGATCTAATACAGCACAGAAAAGACCAAAAAAAAAGTATCTTGTGGGCAGATTTAGTTCATTCCACTCAGCTCCAACTAAGACGATGCTGGAAGCAATTATATTTTCATAATGAATTATTTTCTACCTCGCCGCAGCTTGAGTGCTGGTGCAACAGGGCTGCACCTTTGAGTGTCTCTGACACTTTCGTGGAGGGAAGGGAGGGAGGCCAGCCTGCGTCATGGCGCTTCTCCTCCTCTATCCCACAGGTCCTTCTCCTCTCAGCATAACTCTGCGAGAGAAATGAATCCAGTCCCTTTTCCATTTCCTCCATTAAACATCCCTCACTGGGAGTCTTGGGCATGTTGCCGGTGCCTCCCATGCAACAAACCCCTCTTGGCTTGGAAGGCAGCACCTCCCAGACCCAAAGCTCCAGCTCACTTGAGCGCTGAGAAACGAAACCCCAACCCCAATCCTTACCCAGCTTGGAGAGCTCGTTGCTCGGATTGATCCTCATCTCTGTCCTGCTGCTGTCTTTGCTGGCGCTGGTTTTGCTAGACTTCTTTCCGCCTTTGTACGAATAGGAATCTGCCATCTCTGTAGCAAGCAGAGAACACGCGATAAGACGCGTGCAGCAGAGAAAGCGTCTGCTGAAATCGAGAAGGGCTTCTAGGGTAGTAGGCAAAAAAAAACAGAAACCATTAAACAGGACTAAGCATTCTCCTTGAAGGAAGCAAGAAGTATTGCTAAGTATTTGTTACATGGCTGAGTGCTGCTACAGACATGGCTGAGATGCCACTTTCGTGATAAGACCCTCATGCTTATATGTACAAGAGTAAAGACTTCATTAAAAACAACAGGCTGGATTCATCTGAAGAAATAACAACCAAATGGCTTTTCCCATTCTCTTATTTCTCCGCTTTCATTAAAAGAAACCAAAAAAGGGGGAAAAAAGTGAGTTTTAATGAACAGATCGAGTGATAAATTTGCAATTTTCACTAGTAATGGGGAACTGTTATAAACCGAGAGTTGTTAACGCTATCTCAGTTCTCCATATTAATAATTCACTTTGGTTCCCTGACAAATAATGAGCATCAGAAACAATCCAGAAGGGCCCAATTTCGCTCCCAAACTGCCATTGAGTCCAACGGCGGCCAGATTCGTTCTTGGAACGGCCGGTTGTTGCGGTTCTGGTCCGAGTCAGTTCTGAGCACTTGCAAACACGCTGCAGAAACACTGATGAAACGAACGGTGGGAGGGACACTCGGTGATCACAAATGGCATAAGTGTAAGGACGTGGGTTGCTATCTGCATGGCAAGCACAAAAGCAATGACACACCGGAGCGATGAGCTCTAGAAGCTCCTCTTGCTTTTACTATGGTTGAGCAGTCTTGTCTTGTGTGTAACACTTGCTAAGTGGGCTGAATCCCTGGTGATGGAAGGTGGCATGTGACAGACAAGCAGGCCTGCCGTGGACTGTAAAGACCGATTCCACAAACTTGGGCAACTCCACCCTTGGTGGGATTCACCTGAAGTCCTCAGGGCTGGGAATGCAGTCTGCACCATCGGCCCTGACCTTGGACTCGGGTACGCTGTTTGGGCTGAGTTGAGAGGTCTGAACTGCGGTCCCGCACCGTGCTACGTGGGGGTTTCAGGTGAACATGCTGCAAACCACCCCCAGCTGAGAGAAGTGCGCTTCCAGGCACGTGGGGTTGCACGGCGGTTGCACCACCACATTCAGAGGTGGCTCCTTCTCTTCCTCTCTCCCTTTGTTATTAGACAGATCCCTGGCTGAGACTAGGCATTTTGCACATCCTTCCATGGGACAAGATCTGAACACTTCATAGACAGTGACCCATGGCCTTGGCAGGCTGGCACATCCATCCCGCAGGAACACGGTGCTTTGGTGACTTACCCGACAACATCTGGCGAGTTGGTGCCAGTCTGGGACACAGAATCCCATGTTCCAGCCCTGTACATCCTGCAGCCTGCAAGGACACAGGAATGCGTTGCCAACTTTGACTTTTTAGGGGTGTTAAAAGAACTTAATGATATGCAAGAAGTGAACAAGAACAGCAGAAACAGAGGCAGCCTGGAGACCACAGTGCCATGGCACATCTCCTGGCCTCAGCTCCAAAATAAAGAATACGCATTGTGCAACTAGCCTCCTAACTCGCCCTGCGCCTCCATGCATTACATAGGGACAACGAAGGACAGGTCTCCAGCACAGCGTGTTTTGAAAGACTGGGTGCTAGTTAACGAGACTAGACTCCAGAACCAGGATGGTGCCAGACGTCCCGACATCGGGCACTACCTGTCACCCAGTTTTGTCCCAGTTCCATTTCCTCTCCTGGTGCCAGTCCTTGCCTGGGTTATGACCCCACCCGGGCAGTTTTCTGAAGACAACCACAGGCTCCCTTATCTTGCACCCCTGAAATCAATGGGAATTTTCCCACTGGCTTCAGCAGAGACTGATGACGACCAGCAGTGTTGGGCTTTGACGCACTGGTGGGATAAGGGCAGTGGGCAGAGCCCGACCTGGCTGGCTCTACAGCCAACCACATCTTACAGTGTGGCTTGGAGGCTGTTTATTGCCCCCTAAGCCTGCCTAGCCACATCCTCGCTTGTCTCCAAGCCCTGATGCACAAAGCCACTTCCTCGGAGCTGAAGCAGGGGAAGGGTGTTGTTGTTCACCCCCTCCTCTCTGACAGCAACCATCTCCTTCTAGCAGAGATGTTGCAATTCCCACCCTCCACAAACCGTCCCCACTCCTCAGACCCCATGGCTTTATCAGCACCCAGCCATTTCCTCCCTCAGCCCTCGGCAGCAACCTGCATGGACAGGGCAGGCTCTCCCTTTTGGGCCTGCAGTTTTGCACACTGCCCAGCCGGGCGGGCACACGACTGCAACAATTCCTTCTGGCCTGAAGGTCTACAGCTCCCTGCTAGCTCACGTGCAACTGGGGAAGTGCACCCTTTTGCTCGAGCAGTGTGTTGAGGCATGGCGAGATCACTGCCATTCTGCTCTGTGCCAAACCACTTCACTCTCAAAGCCACGGATTTGACTCAACACCCAAACCTCCAGCAACGTTGCTTCTTCTGCTTCCGTCTGCCCGAAACCCAGTCAAAAAGTACTGGAAAAAGCCCATCCCTGCTCATTCAGCAAGCCACCTGCGGTTCAGCAAGCCCCTCTCTGGAGGGTGGGCTGTTGGACAAGCTGCAAAGCACTTAAGAGCCCGGATATCTGATCCTACAAGGTGTCCAGGCATCAACTCATGCATGCTTTTGGTGTCCAGGACATTGCTCCTCACATGGGGAAACATGGATGATGCAATCAGCATGGATTTATTAGGGGGAGATCATGTCAGACCAACCTGATTGCCTTTTACGATCAGGTCACAAAGGCTATGGATGCAGGTGTCGCGGTGGATGTAGTCTTTCTGGACTTCAGCAAGGCCTTTGACACCGTCTCTCACCCCATCCTAGTTAAAAAACTAGGCGACTGTGGCATAGATGCCTACACAGTCAGATGGATTGCAGATTGGCTGA